ATGATGTGAATTGGAGCTATAGAAATAAACTGAACTGTTTCTGTAACACTTTAAAACTAAAAAGGTGAGGGACCCCAGAAGGGCGTCAGGTGGAACCCCTAACCTAAAAGACTCCACTGGATCTAAATACCTTTATAGATCAAACGTTGAGACATCGATCGGGTCTATCAGGCGCTGCAGTTTGAACGGAGCAGCAATAAAACCCTGAATCTGAATAGAAATTTGCATAGGTTAACCAAATGAAGCTGACATCAGCGACTTCTGCAGGCTTCTAGTTAGTTGCTCTTTTGAATAAACAGCTCAGAGGCTAAACCACAGGCAGAAACACTGAAAGCTTTCTTTTTTTTTCCAGGAAAGTTTCCCACAGAGCAGAACGGGATGGGAATAAAACAGAGACACAGAAACAAACCAGAAAACTGGATTATTTTAGCTCTACATTCTGTCAATCTGACCGTGCAGGGATAAGAAAGAAGGTGAGTTTTAGGAAAGTTAGTTTTTAGCTGAAAAGAAAAGGCTCAGAAACAGGCTGACAGGTGAGGAATGAAAGCAGAGACTCACACTGTACTCCTGGTCCAGAGTAGCGGGATCCTTGGACTTCAGGGAGGACAGCAGCGAGGGCAGCAGCGAGGGCAGCAGCTCCATCTCAGAGACGTTCAGAACGGCAGTGGCTCGGCTCTGCCTCTAAATTTAACCGCTTCAGTTAATAATTCAACAGCCGGCCTCTCTCACCCTGAGCACAGAATCAGGAAGTGACAGAATTGAAATAAACAGCTCAGGACTGATTACCTCACTAAGGTTGATGGTGTCAGAGCATCGCAGGGACGACTCCTTCCTCAAACACACAACCGCCCTTTGAAACGGCTCGACCCAGAGCTTCACCTGCAGACCAATCGGACAGCGGATCAGAACCAAGGCCAACTTACAGAGCTGGGGTCCCGCTTTAAGCTGCAAAGTATTTGCAATACTATAATGTTCACTTGCACTGCTGACTGTTACTATAGTAACAACCGTTTACATGCATCTTGCACTACTTTATATTGATTTGCACTGCCGACTGTTTACCTACAGGAACAATTGTTTACAGATACATTTGCAAGAACGCCAGATCCTCCAGTCAGATTAAAGGTTCTAAGGAAAACCAACCAATTGCATCCAGTCAGGATTCTCTCCTCCTGGACGAGCAGGTAGAGACAGTAGACACTGACTCTTCAGCAATCCCTCACACCAAGCAGCTGATATTTCTCTCCAGGATGGAGTCACAGCCAAACAGGAACAGAC